TCAAGGAGGCTGCAGTGTGCCTCAAGGGGAAAATAATTGAGCGAGGTAAGTTTTATCAGGCATTAGCTACAGTCTGGTAGCTATACAGTTCAGTGTTAAGGAATCAACGGTATACCTTAAGGAAGTTGTCCTTAAACAGAAACACACACAAGACAAGGGTGTGGACTAATCCACCGATGAAAATATGTGGCCAGAATGTGCAGGAACGGAGCCTTGATCGACCCCAGGAGTCCAGGCTTTGCTAATCTAACTTTCGCAGTGACTTCACAGAACATGACCGCCACCAGTGACAAACATCAACTGTGCAACACAATTTACTAGAATCACGTACTTTGTTACGAGAACAAAGGACGAAGCCCGAGAAGACATTAGACGTCTGTAGATTACTTGCCATGAAAGGCACCTCAAACACAGGAAAGAACAGGAAAGAAACACACATCCTATTTCTGCTGCTGTCAACTGATTGCACGCGGTTAGGGATGAGCACTTCAGAACAGATTTTGCGATTCTACGTGTACCTTCCTGCGGACACTAACCAGAGGGTCTTGTCATGTTTAGCTGCAAATAGATCTTCAGATAAATAATTACTACATAATTATGCTAACGAAATTGTATTTCTCTTCAAGCATTATTCACCCAACTTAAAGCCTCCAGATATCGGTTGCCTCTCAACATTAACATTCCTTGTTACTGGTTGCCTCTCAACATTAACTCTGTGACCCGAATTATTCACTGCACCTTTTCAGAATGAGACTTGGAATGTTCGAAAAAAGAATGTATCTCAGCACTGATCACCCTGGTTATCTCTTAGAGCTAAATCACTTATGACAGCTAATGTGAATAGTTCTTTCTGGAAGGCAGAGGTGAAGTCAGTATGAGGCGTGGGAGGCCAGATAACTTGTGATCAAGGGCAAGGTCTCAGGATCATAGACATGAAAGAAAACTTATAGAGAGTTATCTGATGCTTACTTTACCACTTAATACACTAAAAAAGTTGACCATGGATATTTGTTTGTCTATCTACTCTGTGTGGAGAATATTTGAGTACTTGGGAGTGAGATAGACAGAAGAAATCTTAGTTTAAAAATCTGGGCACTAGAACTAATCTAGAATTTTCCTAAACATGAAGAGAAAGGATGAGCTTGGAATATCATGAAGGCTTCCAGGAGACCATAGAGCAGGGGGTGGGGGCAAAGGGAGGATCAATAGAAGGTAAACGATTTGGTTCTTAATCTGATACATATTTAAGAACTAGCTGGAGGGGTGCCTAGGTGGCTCAGCCGGTTGAGCGTCCAACTTCGGCTCAGGTCATGATCTCATGGTTCCTGGGTTTGAGTCCCACGTCAGGCTCTGTGCTGACGGCTCGGAGCCTGGAGCCTGCTTCGGATTCTGTCTCCCTCTCTCTCTCTGCCCCTTCCCCACTCGTGATCTGTCTCTGTCACTCAAAAATGAAAAAACTTAAAAAAAAATTAATAAAAAAATACAATAAAAAAAGAACTAGTTGGAAAGGACCTTGGATGAAAACCTACAAGTGTCAACTTCATTCTGTGGTCCTAGGGAGTGCAGATCAGAGTGCAGATTTTTTAAAACGTGTTTTTTTATTATTTATTTCAGGGAAGGGAGAGGGGCAAAGTGGGGGGAGAGACAGAGAGAGAGAGAGGGAGAGAGAATTCCAAGCAGTCTCTAGACTTAGCATGGAGCCTGATGTGGGGCTCGAGCCTCATGGCCCTGGTATCATGACCCGCACAGAAATTAAGACTCAGACACTTTATCCACTGAACCACACAGGAGCCCCAGAGTGCAGATTTTCAAAAGGAGGGCAGCACATATGAGGTTCCCTGAAATTGGTCTCGAACTCTACAGAAGTCTAAATTATTAGGCTCATTTCCTAGTCTTCTTTTTAATACTGTAACTCCATCTCAGGAAACCGGAAGTACGAACCTATGAGATCTGTCCCATTTGTTGTATCACATTTGGGAAAAACGTAATGACAGATATTAGAATTTTAAAGACAGGATTGGTTTTCTATCAGCTAAATGACACAGACACATCAATCCAAGCCCATCGATTCACACAATTTTGCCCTCAATTCCCAGGAAGGCAAGCAAGAACTTGGCATAGTGGATGCAGAAACACCCAGGGGACGTGACACTATGTAATAACTCCTAGGCTGGAGCATTTGTGACTTTAATTTATTGGCCTTGAACATTTTGTAACGTGAACTACAAGTGGCTGGGTTTGAACCAACCAATTTGTTGATGATTAAATTTCTCAAGAAAAAACAGAGTGGTTATGTTTTAGTAGCTCCTGGGACATCCCATTCCTGCCAAACAGCAAGCAACTTGCCTTCCCAGAAGGGTTACAAGCTCTCAAAGAAGAGAGCAACCATCTTTGCGAGATTGATGTCTCCAGAGATTTAGGGATGATATAATATAGAATAGCAATCTCATCAACATCTTCTGACACATACGTGAGCTGTGTATGTGTGAGAGAGAGAGGGAGACAGAGAGACAGAGACACACAGAGATTGAGAGACAGACAGACAGACAGAGAGGGAGGGAGGGAGGGAGAGAGGAGAAGGAGGAGGGAGGAGAATTAAAGACAGATAAACGGGTAGATAGGTAGAAAGGCAAATAGATAAAGACATTTAAAAATTTAAGACATGTCAGAGTGTGCTGAATAGGATTAGAATATTTCCTTTCCCTAAATGGGGAGCAACTTTCTGATCTCCCAACTAACATTCTTTACAGGAGGAAATTGAAGAAAACGTACAATTAATAAGATGTGGTCCTTGTCACAAGTAGAGCAGGGCAGTTCCAGTTGTCAAAAGAAACAGGGATACTTCACTCTGATGAAAATCTGATGAACTGGACAGCTGTCTCTCTAAAATACTCAGAACACGGGGCACCTGGGGGGCTCAGTTGGTTGAACGTCAGACTTCGGGTCATGATCGCAGGTCATGATCTCGCGGTTCGTGAGTTCGAGCCCCACGTGGGGCTCTGTGCCGACATCTCGGAGCCCAGAGCCTGCTTCAAATTCTGTGTCTCCCTCTCTCTCTGCCCCTCCCTCCCTCACGGTCTTTCTCTCTCTCCCAAAAATAAATAAAACGTTTAAAAAATTAAAATAAAATAAAATAAAATAAAACAAAATAAAATAAAACAAAATAAAATAAAATGCTCAGAACACAATCTTACATGTACCTACAAGCCCTAACTCTGAGTCTCAGAGTTGAGAAGTGTGGAGAAGACCTCAGACGCTGAATTTAGAAAGCGGCTGTTGTAACGCCATCCACAATGGTGAACTACCTAATAAAATCAGAATTTTAAGCCCATTATTGTTTAAGAGAAAGCAGGTTGAGAGAAAGAACTGCCCAATTTTGACTAAAGAACATTCCTGCCTAGAGAGATCACATAATGCCTAAGTGCTAGACCACTTTTTATTCCCATTAGTATTTCAATGATTTGATTAGAAATGATAAAACCCTTAATTGGGCTTTCGGAATAATAATTAAGTGAAACTGTTTTCCATTAATAGAATGGAACAAGAATAAGAAATGAAGGAACTCTTTTCAGAGACGGTTCAGGCCCTTGAGAAAGACATTCCGGGCTCTTACAGCGGAGACGAGACCTATCAAAAGCACTTACCCAGATTTCAAAGACGGTAGAAAGTGGCGACAACTAGACGGTTTCTAAAATAAAGCCCCGAGGGAAAGGTAGAGGTCAGAAATCTTTTCCCTTATTTTCAACCTAGAGAATTAGGCCCCTGTTTTTAATTTGTACTTATCCCTGAGGTTGGACGTGTTGTACAATTTTATGAAAATACCAAGTTTACAGTAGAAGGATAGTGGACGCTTTATTTTAGTGCTTGGGAAGAATTTCAGGTGACCACAGGCATTTTTTTCCCCACTTTATTGTAAGAAAATACTGCACAGTAAAATAGGCCAACCTTGGTAAACCATATTTCCGATGAATGTTTTCTGCCTATATATATATATATATATATATATATATATATATATAATAAAAAAAGCCTGTTTCAGAAGTGCATGTGTAGGTGAAGGTCCCCAATAGAGAAAAAAGGAGCCTTCTAAATTTTCTACATCAGATGGCCTCATGCCCAAGGGATCCTTAGCTACCATTAGAGAGGGAATCAGGAGGAAAAGCAGAAGCTTGTCTTCTTGGGTAAGGAAAGGAAAGCCGTGGAAAGATCTGAAAAGCCCAGAGATGCCTCCGGTGTCCACATCATCTTATTGTACCAGGATCTCCTGAAGCCAGAGAGAAGAAGACACAGGCCAGGAAGAAAAAAGGGAAGAGTTGAGATCCCTGCTAAGGTACATGGACCCTCAGAACCAGAGGAACTGATGGGTAGGGTGCGGTTTGGTCCACAGCCTCGGTTTACCCTTTTGCCCTCTTCTTCCCGGTTAGCTCTGGCTGCCGTCCTCGTCACAGGGACGCTCTCCTGCCTCCCTTCCTCCATTGGGCCCCAAAGAGAATTAAGGGGTTGCTGCGAGCTTATAAGGTGGGGATTACCCACAAGCAAGCTGAGCCAACTGTGTAGCATTTTGAGCGCCAAAGGGTGAAATGGCGCTCCTGGATAAAGGCCCTCCCTGCCACTGGACGTGACCGGCTGCGGAGAACTCTAACTTTCTTTGAAACGGATGGGAAGGCCAGGTCACTCTTGTCACTCTTGTCAAATTAGCTTCTTACGAAAAAGAGAGGAGGTAATCCATCCGTACCGGGGACAGTTGAATAAGTTCAATATATTCAAATCCTAACGCGTCACTTAATTTCATCGCCCACTACAAAGGAAAGGCGAAACAGACTCCATCATTCTTGGACAAAATTAGGCAAATTCAGCGACATTTGTTTATCTGAGAAATATTATTTGTGAACCGTTTTGAAGTAAACTCCGCTTTCGTGCTGAAGCCATTCTTGAGGTGTGAAAACAAACTTTGCATAAATGAACTCTTTTATGGAACACACACACACATGCATGTACACATACACACAAATATATACACACATATGTATACACACGTATGCACATATGCATACCTACACACATACATGTATACACACACATGCACATATGTATACATACACACATGTATACATGTAACAATTAACCAAAAGTTTTATAGCCAGTGGGTTTCAAGGCTTATGTTTGAACCGGTTGATGTGATTACATTACTTTCTAGATTTTTGATGTGCTTGCTTTCAACTCACGTTCTTGAGTCAAGTGTGAACGGGGCAATGGGGGTGGTGCCCCATGTCTCATCTGTTTAGCAATCTTGAGGCATTGTGAGAAGCGCCAGCTGCCAGTGACAGCTGAATGACACCCAGGGACCATGCAAACCCTCAGCCAGTCTCAGCACTGGGGATTCTATTAGTTCTCTTTGCAGACCATCTTTCAATAAGAGAAATACACTTCTATTTCACTACTCCTCCCTCACCTACTCATGGTGTGTTAGTATCTCGTGAAATGGCTTGACGTTGCAGAGCTAGGGGGAGAAAGGTCTGATCATTTCCATCGTAACTCAATTGACCGTTTGCAGGTTCTTTCAATCTACAAGCCCAACACCACTTACAAGGCGCACGACCATCGAAGCCACTGCAGCTACAAACATACCTGTATTTCTGGGATTTGCATCAGGCATCTAGAATCGATTTTGCTTCCTGTGTCCCTGGGATTGCAGAATGACTAAAACCGCCCTTGCGCACCGAAGCGTTCCTCCCGTGGTCCCGAGGACAGCGTTGCTAGGCAACAGACACCTTCTCCCTGTCCCTCCCGTCCAGAGGCACCGTCGCTGGAGCGTGCCTCTGTCCCCATCTGGGTGCCAGACAGGTGTCTGGAAGTGAGTCATTCTCCCGAGAACATTTGCCTCTAGGATGTCGGGGAAAGTCAGTTTAAATGAGGACACATAAAATAAGCCTTAATAACCTTGAAGGTATAAATATAGTTTTGTGAAGCACAGAGCTTGACAGAATTGGATAATCAGACTGGAGAGAGAGTTAAATACAGACAAGGAGAAGGGAACGGATGCGGGCGGAACAGGCCATTTCAACTGTAATTTTCAGATAATAGGTTTTGAAACATGGCCCTGGTGGAAAAGCCTAAGAAAGAGTTTAGGTAGCTCGAAGGCAGAAGATCAGCGTGGAAGAGAGCAGAAACATGCTTTTAATTAACGGGATGACAAAATGCTTTGGTGGGCCTTTTCTTAGCCAATTATGCATCTTTGTTTAAGCTGTCATATTTAACTTTCGGTAATTCAGTAGGATAATTTTATGCCACGAATTATAAAAGTTCTGGCACATCAGTGAGGCAAATGTGTTGGCTAACTGTTTCCTGTTAAATGAAAGCAGGGAGAGAAAACATTTAGAAACATTTAGCAATTGGATAATTGTTGTCAGGTACATCTTAGGAAAGAAGTGATAATTCTTGCTTCCGGCCATTTAACACAAGCAAAGGTTAGAAAGGTGTTCATTAAATTAAACTGTTTGTAGGAGACGTTTATTTTTCACTTGCAGAGATGTCTCAGGCAAAAGCTGTGCAACTTAACCTTTAAGTTCCTGTTTTCAGAATTAAGAATCCTTGCTCTTTGGGTTCAGGGGTGTGCCACCCAAAAGCCATTTGTTGGAATCCTAACCCCCAGCACCTGAGGACATGACCTTTTCGGGAATACGGTCTTTACAAAGATAACCAAGTTACACATGGGATCACTAGGTGGGCCGTAACTCAATAGGGCTGAAATCCTTATTAAGAGAGGAATGTGGACTCAGGCATCAACCATAGGGAGACTGTGAATGGACACATGGAGAAGGCCATGTGGCACCGGGTGATGCGGCCACGAGCCATCAAGGGACGTCTGGGATATCGGTAGCTAGAAGGGGCAGGAGGAAGCCTTCCTTCCTCAGAAGATTTCAGGGGATCTTGGCCCTGTCAGCACTCCAGACTTCCAGCCCCAGAAGTGTGAGACAACACACTTATATCCCAAGCCACCCATTTTGCAGAAGTTTGTTTTGGTAGCCCTAGAAAACTAACACAGTTGTACTTATGATTATCTAGAAGTGTGTTCTCATTAAGAAAATCATACATATGAGATATATATATATATATATATATATACATATATATATATATATATATCCATCCATAAGGTAGTGTTAAAATCAAGACAACAGGCCCAAAATGGAGTCACTTACGCTAAGTCCTGTTACCAAACCAAGACTTAACTTCATGATACTTTGGCCGTCCCCAAAATGGAACCAGAAACCAGCCCATCAGGATCTCAGGATGAGCATTAGTCAGGTTATCTGCCTGATGGGCTCCAACCATCCCCTCAAGGAAAGTCATCTTGTAAGAACCAACGCATTTTTTGCCTAAGATGACTTCCTCGTCCCCATTCCCTTGTCCCTATAAAAGTCTTTCATTTTGTGCAACTCCTTGGGGCACCCTCCTACCTTCTAGCGTCGATGCTGCCGGATTTGAATCATTTTTTTGCTCAAATAAACTCATAAAAAATGTTAATAGGCCCTAGTTTATCTTTTAACAAAAGTTAAAGTTCTGGTACCAGAGAGAACAGAAGGACTGAGGAGCAGCCAGGCGAAGGCACCTGTGAGCCCCATGAGTTGATTTCTCCCACCACCTCTAGGGGAGCTGAGTGGTGCTCCCTCACCTCCTAACTCTGCAGCTTTGGCGTTAAGACTTTCAGACTTCAACTGAGCCTTTGTTTTTCTGGACCGGGTCCAACCACACTGAGCTAAACTTAGAAAGTGGACTATGTCCTGGCTGGACTGCTCCTGATCTAGAAACTCAACTGGCTCTGGGGTCAAACTGGGTCTGACTTAAGCTGCACTGGGTCCAGGGTGAGGCTTCCAATGAGTAAGAGTTTTGGTTCTTTTGTTTTGTTTTGTTTTGTTTTGTTTAAGCTGAACAAGGAGATGAATCTTACCAAAGATAATCTTGAACTACAGTGGCCACAGTGGAGAACTCACCTAGGGACACATATTCATTAAGTACCCCAGAGGAAAAAGGGTCTGAGCCAAGTATCGCCATAAAGGGGAGAGGAAAAGTTACTTTTCCTCCTCTACAGTTTCTGGGGACCAGGATGAGACCTGGTAGGACACTTGCTCCACAGCCTGTGGATGGGCTCCTGGGAAAACTGGCAGAAACCAGAAAATGGTGAGGATTTTACCAAAGTCAGCTCTCCCGGTACCGGATCTGTGGTACCTGGTCTAGAGAGGGAGGGAAATTTTTATGTTGTCCCTTTCCAAATTTGGATCGCTGGAAAAAAACAACAAAAACAATGAAACAAACAAACAAACAAACAAATAAAAAGCATTTGTAAGAGTTAGATCTTTGAGTTGTGACATGTGAGTTTGCTTTTAGATACCCACTGGTGGTGAGTCCTTCCTCTCCCAGGGACAGCTATTGTGTTTTGTTTCTCCTGTTTTGTGTCCTGAGGCTTGGTAACAGTCATATCAGGGGTCCCCAAAATATGACCGAGCAAAATTGTGGGTTGCAGGCCACTTGCTGCTAGATGCGGCTGGTCAGAATTTCGGGTTGCGCTCCCTAGGGTCCTACCAAAGGTCAGCCCTCCAGGGACTTACCTTGAGTCTGTCTTTGGTGCTCTTTGGGAGCGGCTCTGGATCTTGGAAAGGTAGCATCTTTTGTACTCTCTTTGGGGACGCATCGCGCATCCAAGAGATTGTTGAATTCTGACAAAAATATTTACTGTTTGTCCTCGCTGATGCCTGACAAGATATTTGAGAGGATTTGAAAAAAAGAAATAGCTCTAAGTCAGAAGTTGGCCACATCGAAAGCTGATATCCAGAGCCTGATGGGAACTTTTTTAGGTCTTCTCCCCTAAGCCAAGTAGGACTGTGTTCAATCCCTTGGGGAGGGTGTTTGGATGCCAGTTTTTACAGCACTGCTTTCCAAACAACTGTGGGGGTGGCAAGCAGCATTTTGGAAGCAAAACAGGACAAATAATAGCATAGACCCTGAAATGGTGCATCTAAGTGTTCCAAGTTCCAACATAACACGCTCACAGAAGACGCCTGCCTCACAGCCCCTGCCTCATCTGAGCGCTTGCCCGTGGCTGGGGTGGCCTTTGGCTCAGTCCTGCAGTCAGAAGCACACAGGGCTCGCACACACAGTCTGCGTGTTTCACCCGTGGGGCTGCCTTGGGAAAGGCTAATCCACTTTAGTTCTGGAAGATTTTAAACCGGATGCGGCAGGCATTATGCAGAACCTCCTAGGTGACCAGCGGTCTTTACAGATGTTTCTACCAGACCCCTGCGGGTTGACCTTTCTCAATGCATTCCCTCCAGAGTCTCTTCAGTTATTTTACTCTGAAAGTTTCTCTCCTTTCTCCCAGAGTCCAGTAGGCCCCTGACTCACACTTCCTGCTTCTGAGCAATGGGTTTCTGACATTCTTCTGTGGCTTGTGTCCCAAGAGAGTGGCTATATCTGGCTTGTGCTGAACACCAGAGCTTTGCACTGTGATTCCTTTTCTTTCTTTCTCTCTCTTTTTTTTTTTTAATTTTTAAACATCTTTTTTATTTATTTATTTTTTATTTTTTTAAATGTGTATCTTTATTTTTGAGACAGAGAGAGACAGAGCATGAGCGGGGGAGAGTAGAGAAAGAGGGAGACACAGAATCAGAAGCAGGCTCCAGGCTCTGAGCTGTAAGCACAGAGCCCGACGTGGGGCTCGAACTCATCAACTGCGAAATCATGACCTGCGCTGAAGTTGGATGCTCAACCAACTGAGCTACCCAGGCGCCCCACATCTTTTTATTTATTTTTGAGAGAGGGAGAGACAGAGTGTGAGCGGGGGAGGAATAGAGAGAGAGGGAGACACAGAATCCAAAGCAGGCTCTGGGCTCCGAGCCGTCTGCAGAGAGCCCTACGCGGGGCTCGAACTCATGAACTGTGAGATCATGACCAGAGCCGAAGTGGGACACTTAACAGACTGAGCCACCCAGGCGCCCCACAGTTCCTTTTCTT